GTACACCGGACAGGGCCCTACACCGGACAGGGCCTTACACCGGACAGGGCCTTACACCGGACAGGGCCTTACACCGGCCAGGGCCTTACACCAGAAGGGGCCTTACACCGGACAGGGCCTTACACCGGACAGGGCCTACCGTTGAGCTCCTCGTCACAGGAGAACTCTAAGACTCTGCTTCAGTCTGTTACTTGCTGCTGAACATATCAGATCGATGGAAGTGAACCGACTGGGGTTTCGGTGATAAATTCATATACATCTCTGATCATCGTGTCTCCAACAGAAACCAAACACTCGCCAGAGTCTGACCTTAGCGTAGCACCTCTCCATGTGTCGCAGCGCCACCTTTGGGTTGACGGGATGGCTGCAGGAGACACAGAAGATCTGGAGGTCAGTGTCATCCCCGTCGCCTTCAGCCACCTGCAGGACAGACAGACCAAAGACAACGTGAATATGAATCAATGTCAAGCATCTCTGTGCATCTCCCGACGTCTCTCAGCGTCTCCTACCTCCTCATGTTGTTGGACCTGCTGCAGTTTGGCATTGGCGATGATTCCTTCAAGTTCGTGGAAACGCTTCTCCATCATTGTGAGGCGGAGTCTCGCCGCCTGCTGCTCTCTTCTGATTCGCTCCAACTGTCTTCGTCCCATCTCCTCAGCAACGCAGGGACTCTGCTGCCACTGCTGGATCCTCTGAGGAAGGATCTCATAGATACGACTAAGGGACAGACAGACAGACAGACGGGTGTAATCAGACGCCTCTCCTTCACCTGTGTCTCCGTCCTCCAGGTGTTGTCTCACTCACTTGGCAGCGAGCTTCATGCCGCAGTCCTCTGAGCAGTACTTGGAGTTTGTCCTCGCCGGTTGGACACAGCCCGGCCCGAGACACTGTCTCAGAGCTCCGCCCATGTCTTTGGCCCCGCCCTCTGCTCGCTCGCTGTGCCGCACGCGCTCCCTGTGGCGCTGCTTCACCTTATGGCGCCGTGGCTTCACCTCCTCTCGGGGAGCAGTGACAGACTTCTGTGGAGGACAGATCTTCGTGACATCACCGCCGACATCATTGGTCACTTGAACTGATCGCCTCACCTTCTTCTCTGGCTTCTTGTCTCGCCGCTTCACATGCTTCACCTTAACAGCCTTCTTTCTCAGAGACTCTGTCTCCTCCTCCTCCTCCTCCTCCTCACTGTGCCACACCTGCAACAGGGACACATTTTAGCCACCTGGCAGCTGATTGGTCGACATACAGACCTGGTGTCTAGCTGCTGACTGGTAGAAAAACAGACCAGGTCTCTGTATCCGGCTGCCTTGTACTGCTCGTACAGCTCCAGCTCACTCTCGCTGAAGCCTTCCTCATCGTCCTCCTCGTCCTCCTCCTCTGTCTGATGCCCCGCCCCTCTCCTGGACAGGCCACGCCCCCTGCCACCACTCCGACTCAGTTCCTCGTCTCTGACGCGAAGCATCTTCTGCAACATGAGGTGAAAGACCGAGGTCACAGTAAACAGGTTATAGAATGGCTAGCAACAGTAGCTCATTAACTGGTCAACAGTTTAGTACATGTAGTTGGTTAACTGGTTAACAGTTTGAGAACAGTAGCTGGTTAACTGGTTAACAGTTTAACACATGTAGCTAGTTAAGTAGTTAACAGTTTAACAACAGTAGCTGGTTAACAGTTTAACACATGTAGCTGGTTAACTGGTTAACAGTTTAACGTCAAATGAAAACAGCCTCAGCAGCTGATTTCCGTCCTCAGATGTTTTCAGTAACATTTGGACGAACTGTTTTATAACCCAGATGCCAAATGAGTCATCATCCTGGTCTCAAATCCAGGACATCTCATAGATATGTATAATAAAGGCGTCTTAAGGTGGCATTTCGAACAGCATCACCCTTCAGCCATCTTGCCACGATGAAGCTCTTTGGTGGAACCTGTGGTACGTGAAGGAAGGTGAGGGATCTGCACAAACATAAATACTCTGATCTCGCTGGAATCTGACAGATTTACAAACGGTTTGGTTTCTTACAAATGTGGCTACAGTTCAAATGACAAAAATACAATACAATTACACAATAATTAAAATACTAATTGTTGCTGACCGTGAGAGTGTACCATCATTATCCATCAGTGCAGAGTTATAACTACACCTCTGACGTTTAGAACAAACCAAATCGTTTGGAAATCGGTAGAAAACTGAGCAAGTTCTGGTTGTTTAAAAAGTCCATGCACCTCTACAACACAATGTTATGGATGAGCGAGCGCACCGAGCCAAGATGGCCGCCAGTGTGGCCGTGCGATTCCATTGGCCGACAGCGCGGACGAGACATCTAACCTTTATTGAACAAGAACTCCTTTGTCCCCTGAGCCATCAAACTGTTCAACTCTGAGCTCAGGGGGAGGGGGAGGAGCAGCAAGCGGGGAGAGGTGGGAGCGAGGGGTGAGGAGTGAGGAGTGAGGAGTGAGGACATCGGGGTGAGATAGAACATCACGCTCTATCCCCAGACTGTGTGCAATATGTTACTCTATCTGTATATTGTATACTGTTAATATGTTATTATTACCATTATTGTTATTATTGTTGCTGTTGTTGTTGCTGACTTTATGTTGGTGTTGTGTTGTTTTTTTCTGGTGTAGCAATTTCCCTGAGGTCTTGTACCGAAGGGATCATCCATCCATCCATTTTCTATACACCGCTTAATCCTCATTAGGGTTGCGGGGGGGCGGAGTCTATCCCAGCTGACTCAGGGTGAAGGCAGGTTCACCTGGACAGGTAACCAGTCTATCACAGGGCTACACTTAGAGACAGACAACCAAGCACACTCACATTCACACCTACGGACAATTTACAATCACCAATTAACCTCAGCATGTTTGTGGACTGTGGGAGGAAGCCGGAGAACCCGGAGAGAACCCACGCTGCACGGGGAGAACATGGAGACTTCAGGCACTCCGGTGCTCCCACCGGGATGCGAACCAGCAACCTTCTTGCTGCGAGGCAACAGTGCTACCAACTGCCCCACCTTGCAGCCCCCGAAGGGATCAATAAAGTTTTATTCAAATTCAAATTCTAATTATTCTAATTCTAATTTTGTTCTTATTATACATATCTATGGGACATCCGAGCAGTGATTCATTGGTCCAATCAGGTGCAGGTGTGGAGGGCAGAGCCTGTAAAGTCTTTCTGTTGGAGAGCAGCTGTCACTCATCTACCAAGTCCGACGCCTCGCGTACACGAACCAACAGTCAGACTCAGCGGATGCAGACCAGAAGCCTGATGTTGGTCACTCATTCAGGCAGCTCCCTCTGCCTTCTGTTTCCATATTCAAAATTCTGCTTCTAATGAGTCCAGTGAGGTTCTGAAACAAGACTGTGGACCACAATGATCCACCAAAACCAGCAGCTGTCCTGCAGATGACCGTCAGCAGCTGATACCAGGAGTTACTGATCAGCTTTCAGATGTATCGGCTGCTGTATCATTAGTGCATTAGCTTCAAGGTCTCCACACTTACTGCAACTATCACACACTACCTCCTGGTGGCCACTAGGGATGCTAATGAGTAATTACCATTATTATTTTGCCGATTAAATATACATTAACCAAAAAGGCAAAAGATGGAGTTCTGGGGACGTGATGTCAGAAAAGTATTGTTAATTAGCTAAAACTACCGACGGTCACTCAGACTCTGGGAATCTGTATGAATGTAGGCCAGCAGAGGTCATTATAGGAGTGCAGCTAGCATCAGGCACCATGATAAAGACTCTACTGGAGACTGATGACCTTCAACCAGAACTCATGATGATGATCTCAACTCATCTTAAACACTGTTTAACTGCTGATGCACAGCAGATCGATCACACGACTACGTACCCGGGCTCGGACCTCGCACTGCCTCAACCGACACTTCTGTCTGATCTTGTTCGGACCTCCAAATTTCTTCATGTCTTTGCAGAAGTCGCACTGAGCGCAGTCCTCCGTCCTCAGACAGGCGTCACATTCTCCACACATTCGGGCCGAACGCTTGATCTGCAGAACAAAAACAACACTGATCAACAGAAACAACACTGGTAAACAAAAATAGCAGCGATAAACAAAAACAAGATCGATAAACACAAACACAGCTGCATGTAAACAGAGATGAACGGGTTGGTAAGCCCCGCCTCTCTCAGTGCAGTTGCCTGGTTACCTGTGATCCCCGCCTCCTGTCAATCCTGGGCTGGGGGGTGGAGCTTTCATCTCCATCAGTTTTGTCATCTCTTTCTGGCTCCGCCTCCTTATCCTCCTTCTCTCTTGTCTTCTTCAGGCGGTATTTAATCTCCAGAGACGGATCTTTGTCTGCAGACGACACAACGCTAACTGATAAAAAACAGCTAACTGCTAAAAAACACGACATGTTTTCATAGGTGTGTAATGTATATTTTCATGTGACTATAACGTATGTTTTCTATAAAGCAGGTATAAAACAGCTTGTTGTCCTCCATTTGTGTTGGACTATTTTCAGCAGTGGATTGATCCATTTAATAGCATTCATGGTAATTTTACCTTTTGCCACCTGGTTGCAAACACTTTGCTAACAGCTAACACTTTGCTAACAGCTAACACTCTGCTACCACACAGCCAACAGTCTGCTAACACACAGCTAACAGTCTGCTAATAGCTAACACGCAGGTAACACTGTGCTAACAGCTAACACTGTGCTAACAGCTAACACTGTGCTAACAGCTACCACACAGCTAACAGCTAACACATAGCTAACAGTAAACACACAGCACACCTCTGCAGATGATCCAGAGCACAGCAGCACGTCACTGTTCTGATTGCTTCACTGACTTCCAGACGCTTCAAATCCAAACCCTGACACGTGCTTACAGAACCACAGAGAGAACATCTCCCTCCAACCTGAACTCTCTCCTTCAGGTCTACACTCCCTCTGCTCACTCACTGGACCAACCAGAACCTCCTGGTCCAACCACCACAACAGTTCCAGGTCGGTAGCTGGACTCTCCTCCTCTGTGGTTCTGGTGGTGGAACCAGTTACCAAACTGTTCAACCTGCTGACTCCCTCTCAGTCTGTAAGTACTGACTGAAGAGCAGCTCTTCACTCAGCACCTCAGCACCTGACAGAGTGAGGACAAAGAAGAAGAAAAAAACTACTTTTCCTGTTTCCTCCGGCTCTGCCTGCAGGCACCAAGGTCCGATCACACTGAACTTGTTCTATGAAACGTATCTAGATTGTTTTCTCCTGACTGGATCCAATGCTGTATCTGCTCTCAGATGTACGTTGCTTTGGATAAAAGCATCTGCTGTGAATGAACCGTAGAATTGTAGAACTGTGGCTAAGACTCGACTAACAACAAACATTTTGCTACTAGCTAACACACAGCTAACACTGTGCTAACAGATAACATTTTGCTAACAGCTAGCACACAGCTAATATTCAGAAAGTGTGTTTTGGTTGAACCTACCTCTGCAGGACGGACAGTACCAAACTCTGATGGCTTTGGCTGCTTTCTCAGAAACTCCAATACAATCACCATGAAACCACTCAGTGCAGCTGTCGCAGCCTCTGATGGACAGACAGACAGATCTGTGAGTGTCAGCTGCTGTGTTTGTTTGTTTACTACTCACAGGTAAACAAAGTGAGTTACATCATGAAACAATTGATGTCTGGTTTCCTGCAGATGCAATAAACAGGAGCGTTGGGTGTTTCCATGGTAACACCTTCTCCTCCTCCTCCTCCTCCTCCTCCTCCTCCATCTTCATCCTCTGGCCGCTCAGCTGCTGCAGCCTCTGACTGACAAACAACAAACAAACAAACAGCCTCTCTCAAAGCAGGTTCTGGAGTCTAGAACCTGACCTAGAATCAAGACAAAATCACTGAATGAACGTGGACTAGACTCATCCAGAGACTCTACAGTTCAGAACCTGTGCTAAAGGAAGCTCAGGATCTGTTTCAGAGGATCTGAGGTCTGAACCAGGAAGTAGGTCCAACAAATCCAGACTTTCTTTGTGTTAGTCGGCTCAACTAAACCTAAACTCCAGTCAGAGATGTCAGAAGGTGTTAATCAGCTTTCTTTGTTCACCATCCAGCGTGTGCTGCTGTAACTGCTCAATTCAGTGTTTCAGTAACGTACAGATCAGCAAGTTCACAGAGAAACATCATCATCAGGAACCAGTTAAAGGGAGACGCTGAGCACAACCTGGACCAGGTTAGCATCAGTTACCATGGAGACCTAGCTCCACAGCATCAGTTACCATGGAGATGTAGCAGGTTACAAATGAGACACCTTCATGACACTGAAAACTCTGACTTTAAGCTAAACACACTTGGTAGATGTTAATCTCGCTTCTTATTTCAGCCTCAGTTCACCTCAGAACAATGTGCAGAACTCAGAGCCAGGATCTGTTTCGACACTGTTCTCCTTCCTTCCACTGTTGTGTTGGTCTGACAAGAACTGCCAACACAGACCAGTGCAGAGCTCGTCTAGAACCTGGGCCTGTAGAACCTATTTCACCAGTTCTGCACTGAACACTGTAACGTGACTGAAGTCTGTAGCCTTTATATTTCTGCAGCTCTTTACCTGGACGCTGGTCCGCCGGTTGGTTTTTACACAGTGAAACCAGACTCCGTTTACTTTCCTGCTTGTTTTAGCTGTTTGCTGCAGATGCGCGCAGCTGCTCCGTTACTTTCCTCCATCATCACTGAGGATCAAACTGACTCACCATGAGGTGCCGATCGGCTCCACAGCAGACTCAGCAGGACTCAGGCTTCCGGATCGATCAGCTGATCAGTGCGATCGATCAGCAGCGCATCGCTCCGTTTTTCATCTTCACAGAAATCTGCAGAAATCTCTTTGTTTCCGCTGCAGCTTCTTTTTCTTCTCTGGTTCTGACGGCGGGAAACAAGTGGAGGGTGAAGCTGAGTGACGCCACCTGCTGACCGGAAGTCTCACTGCAACGAATAAAAGCTGCGGTGAAATCAGATGAACCCGATTCAGGGCGTCAAAGAGCAGCTCAAAGAAGAGATGCAGAGCAACCACAGGAGGACTCCATCCTGGATTCAGGAGCAGCTCCTCCGCCGGCTGGTCCACACATACAGATAGAACTAATAGAACTGTGTCCAGCCCATCAGGGTCAGGATTAGGAACCCCCCCAACACCATGCGGGGAGGCAGGGGCGACCCTCTAAAGGGGCCGTCAAGTTCCTGTTTTGTGTGCACATTTTATGTCTTGTCTTTCCTGTTTTATTTTGAAATCACTAACCGGTTGTCTCTGTCCCACTTTACTTCCTGCACCTGTCTGGTCACACCTGCTCCCTGACGGCTCTCCCTCACCTGGTCCCCATCTCCCCTCATCACAGTCCTCGTCCCAGCGTTCCCACAGTCACAGTCTGTCTTGTTACGACCTCGTCCTTTGCCTGCTCTGCCTGATTGGACCCACCACCCGTTACCGGGTCAGGTTCGGTTAGGTGAGGGGTCCCCCCCCCCCATTTTTTGTGAGGGGCAGGGAATGCTGGGTCCTTCCCCCGGTCCTGTCTCCCCCTTCCCCCAAAGAAGAACCGCTGTCGGTCGGCCCCCGCGATCGTCCCGGTACCGGCCGTAGCGGACCGTTGTCCAATCGGACATTGTCCTTAATTTTATTTTTAAAAACCCAAAAACAAACAACTAAGGGAGCAGCAGCGCTGTACATGGTGCCTCTCTGGCTTCATGAGATTGTAGATAAAATGAAATAAACCAAAAAATGTTTTTAATCAACTGAGAAAGCAGCGTAGTTAATTTTTTAATCAACAAAGCCTCCAATCGCGACGTTTTGACAGTAAAAGTGTCTCCTTCAGGCTGGAGGCCTGCTGGAGATCCTAACCCTCTGGTTCTACCCTCTGGTTCTACCCTCTGGTACCTTACAATGAAATAACTAGAAGGAAAACCCAGAACACTGGTTGGAACTTATTTATGCTTTTAACTTCTATGCACTTTATCTAAATGGTCTTTTTAACCCTTATGAACTTACTCAATTACTGTTTATTGTTTATAATTTACATTTTAAATTTGTTTGTTTTTATTTATTTTTTTGTTTTAGAAAACTAATTTACACCAGTCATTATTTTTTTGTTAATGTAACAATTAAGTAATTAAGTAGTTAATCAATTATTTTTTTATTTGACTTCCCACCCAAATGGGGGTGAATGGAGGGGGGCAGAATGGTCCAGGGAAAGGGTAAGGTTTAAGGATAGGGATAGGGTTAGGGGAAGGGGTCGGCAACCTTCAACACTCAAAGAGCCATTTGGACCCGTTTCCCACAGGAAAGAAAAGACCAGGAGCCGCAAAACCCGTTTGACATCTAAAATGAAGATAATACTGCATAAATTGTTTTTACCTTTATGCTATGTGTAAAAAACTACAGTGTGTTGCATTTATGAAATCAGTGAACTGCTACAGAGAAAACGAAATTTTATTTCTGTAATAAAAAAATGTTTAACTCAAAAAAAAAAAAAAAGACGCTGGGTTGAAGGTTACTGTCAAATAAAATATTAAACGTCTATTTGTGTCCTCCTCGTATACATGAAATAAAAAGCTGATCTTAAATTATCCACCTGCAGCAAAGTAAACCAGCGTCTGGTTGTCCTGCTGCCTGCAGCTGGACTGCTGACCAGACTGCTGACCGCCTGTGAGCTCTTTGTGACAGAGGAGCTCACGGCAGCACCGCTGCTCGCTGAGGACAGGAACAGCACAACGATACCAGTTTTCACCTCAGAATCTCCAAAACACCAGAAGAGTCTCTAGTAACACCAGAAAGAGTCTCTAGTAACACCAGAAAGAGTGGCTGGATTTGTCGCTAGTCGCTTTTGGCAAAAAAAAAAAAAAGAAGTCGCCAAGAGGATTTGGAAAGTTGCCAGATTTAGCGAGAACGTTATCCAGTTGGTAACACTGCGCGTGCCGGCGGGTGTCGCACATCAGCGGTTGTGACGCATATTTTGAGCAACAAAAAAATTAAACACGTTTTATTTTAATGTTACAAGTTCACAAAAATCTTCAAATTTAGAATTATATTTAAAAAACTAACGAGCTAAAATAAAATACATTTAAATTAAAACACTCATTTATTTTCCAAAGCCACAAGGAGCTGCAGCAGAGGGATGAAAGGGCCACATGCAGCTCTGGAGCCGCGGGTTGACCACCCCTGGGTTAGGGGAAGGGATTAGGGTGGGGTTAAGGTTAGGTTAGGTTTAGGTTAGGTTAGGTTTAGGTTAGGTTAGGTTACTTTAGGTTAGGGTTAGGTTGGGTTGGGTTGGGTTTCTGTCACAGATAACTAGGCAGGTTGACCCAAATGCAGAATGACACTCAGGAGGCGTGGAGTTAGGAAAAATGAGGTTTATTGCAGATACTGAGGTGAAAATGATGGGATTGCAAAAACAAGGCGAGGGTGTTACCGGTAGTGAGCAGATTGTCCAAGAAGTCACGGAGAAGACTCGGGCTTGGTGCAGGTGGAAACACAGACGAGGAGCAGGAACACGGGAAGAATCCTCAACGAAGGAAAGGCGGTTTCACTGACACTCGGAAAGAGGCATGAAGGGAGGATCGGAGGAAGCACGGAGGAAGCATGAGGGAAACATGAAGGGAACACTCGGGTGGTGGCTAGAAGTCGCCATGTAGGGCAACACTCAGGCAAAGAGTGAGTGGTGAGAGCTCCTCTTATACAGGTGGTGACGACCCAAATGAATTGCAGGTGTGTAGCTCACGCACCTTCAGGGAATCAGTCAAGTAAGAGTTCCTCCAGAACGCCCTCTGGTGGACACCTGGAGGACAACAAAATCACAGAGCCAAAAATCACCATTCCTGGACAGCTTAGGTGTGGTTAGGTTAGGTTAGTTTAGGTTACTTTAGGTTACGTTAGGGTTAGGGTTAGGTTAGGTTCAGGTTCGCAGTCACCCTGTCCAGCTCGCAGCCCTCTCTGCCTTTTATACAGTTCTGCTGGACCTGTGTTGTTGCACATCATCTCACTCAGGACTTTTCTACTTTGACGTATTACACTTATTGTACATTCTGGATTTTATATTTTCTTATTGCTGATCTTTCTTACTTATATGTATTTGTGGTGGTGGTAACTGTGTCCGTGTGCTGGAACAACCGCATCCCCTGGACGTTCATAAAGTAGTTCTGTTCTAAATTATGCAAAACGACCAAAATGGGTCGACAAGCTTCCACACAAACAAACAACATGGCAGCTAAGACGTTTAAAAACAACCAAAAGGAGATATGAAGACGTGAGAGCTGATGCTGAACATCTGGGAGTTGCACAGCTGGAGACAGAACCTGGACCTGTACAACCTTCCTGTCTCTGGGTTCTGGTTCTGTGAGCTTCAGCTCAGTTTATTCAAAATGTGGCTGTAAGCTGAACAATCTGAAGCTTCTGTCAAACATTTACTGATTTCAGGAATCACTGAAACACTTTGGACTCGCTGGTTCTGAACAATAAATCCATGTGTAATGCAGGGTGTCCAGCAGGTGGCAGCACCAAACCACTTTCAGCAGGTTCTACAACATCTGGAACCACCTGAGAACATTCTAACAATGTCACCATGACATCGGGAAACCAAACTGATACCAAACAAAACGATGTCAGAAGTCTCAGCGATCAGAACCTGTTCTCCTTGTGATCAGTACGTCTGATTGGCCTGTTCTGCTCATATCGGACCCTGATGTTCAGACCCGCTCTGACTTCATCAAGTCAGTCATCAGTCGTCTCAACATCGATGACAGTCCATAAAGTCATGTGACAGATGGTCACCAGGTGTGTGTGTTACTGTGTGTGTGTGTGTTACTGTGTGTGTGTGTGTTACTGTGTGTGTGTGTGTGTTACTGTGTGTGTGTGTGTGTGTGTGTGTATAGGAAGAGGCGGAGCTCTTGGTGGCTGTGTGTGGCTGCAGCAGATGATCAGATGGTTCAGACAGAACGAAGCTTCAGGTGAGAGAACTTCTGTTTTCTGCTTTCATCACATGTTTAATGTTTAACTGCTGCTTTTTCTGTTTCTGTTTCAGTTCTTGAATAAATTTTCAGTCTAAGTTTAAAAAACACAGTTTAAAGTGAAATTCCTGCATTAAAGTCTCACTGATGTGAAATTATTAGAAAAATGTCCTCACAGGCTGGTAGCTAAAGTCCTGACAGCATCACGTGTGTGTGTTGGAGTGTCGTTACTGATACAACATGTTGTGTAATAGGCTGCCAGTTTAACCAGTTTAACCAGTTTAACCTGTTTAACCTGTTTAACCTGTTTACCAGTTTAACCTGATGAACAATTTCACCAGTGTAACCAGTTCAACCATTTTAACCAGTGTAACCAGTTTAACCAGTTTAACCAATGTAACCAGTTTAACCAGTTAACACAGCTTAACCAGTTCAACCAGTTTACCAGTGTAACTGGGTTCAACTAGTATAACCAGTTCAACCATTTTAACCAGTGTAACCAGTGTAACCAGTGTAACCAGTGTAACCTGTGTAACCAGTGTAACCAGTCTAACCAGTGTAACCAGCTGGTCAGAATGCTGCGGACCACATCTCGCTGTTCGTTGCACATGTTGGAGTTTTTCTGTTTCTGCTGCTGATTTATTCAAACTGCAGTGAAAGCAGAACTGTTCATTTATTGATCATTTCCTGATCGATCAGACTGACGAATGGAAGTGACATCAGACTGCAGTGTCTCTGACGTCACTGAGGGCGGGGCCAACAAGGACCCTGACCAATCAGAATGCATCGTCAGCCAGCCAACAGCCAATGGGACGCTCCTGCATCACGGCACAGGTGAGACAAAAAGTGCAGGTGAGTGATGACACGATGTGACAAGACAGTGAAAGAATGAGGCCAGACAGGTGAGGACAGGTGAGGGTGGGAAACCCTGTAGGAGCCACAGAGCCACTGCAGCTCAGGCAGGTGTGGCTAACCAGTTTAACCAGTTTACACAGTTTAACCAGTTTAACACAGTTTCATCCAGCAGTGAGGTTTTAGTTTCACATTTATTGTTTAACAGACTGTTTCATGACACACGAGCCCCTCCAGCAGACAGATGCTTGACACGTTTGGATCATTGCAATCATGTCCAAGAAGAACCTGAAGTTATAGATAAAAACCTGTTTTAGATCCTGAACCAGAACCTTCACATCACAGCTCCTGCAGGTCCAGTGTCCTCCTGACCCGCCGGTACCGGCTCCACAGCATCACTTCAAGCTTTAATAATAATGTTTTCTCTCAGTCGGAGCATCTACCTGGTCCATCGATCGGATGTAGCTCACGCTGGCAGGTAAACAGGGTAAACAGTCGGTGTTGCTAAGCAACCGCTTGAGCGATGAGCGCTGAACACAGCCTGATGTGGGTTCCTGGTCACGTTTTCTTTCTTTCTAACACTTCCACGATTCATGAGGTGATGAATAAACTGATTTTAGGCACCGAGTGATGAATGCAGGATTTCATTTTGACAGAGTCACCTGGATTATAAACGCCGGTCCGATCGACCCGTCGCTGCTTTTGGTGTTGAAACGTTCTGTTGATGGACAACCAGCGACGCCATCCTGTTTCTGTTCTTCTTGCAGAGGAGGCTCCGCCCCCTGTCTCTCATAGGTCGGACGATTCTGACAGCAGTAACGACTCTTTGACAGACAGCTCCTGCACCAATGACATTTCTCGACTCCTGCCTGCCCCGCCCACCTGTGAGCTCTGCAAACAGAGAGGTGACACACCTGAATGTACCTGAATAACCTGAATGTATCTCTGACGTCATCAGTGCTGTCATCTGTTGTCTCAGGTGTGGACGGATCATCAGCGTCTCCTGTCTGTGTTCCTCCATCTTCACCCGCCTGTCCTCCTCCTCCTCCTCCTCCTCCTCCTTCATCCACCTGTAGCAGACATCCTAGTCAGAGCACCAATCAGAAGCGGCTATCTTCCACTAAAAGCCACGCCTCCTTTAAGACTGACGCCGCCCACATTAAAGAGGTCGCTGGGGACGGTGAGCCAATCAGCTCCATAGTTCTGCTGCTGAGGTTCTAGAGAATTTTAAGGAGGTCTGACAAAACCTAAGCAGGTTTCCAGTGCCTAGATGTTCTCCAGAGTTTTTCAGGAAGGTTCTTCAGGTCTTTGAGCACATTTAGGGGTCTGGAAGACATTCCAGAGGTCACTGAGCTGGGTTTTTCATGGTCTACATGTCTTTGTGGAGGTTTTTGAGGTTCTGAAAAGTGTGTTTGGTCCTTAGACCCACCAAGGTCCAAATGACATTTTAAGGGTCCACTTGTGTCTCTAAGAACAGAAACAGTTTGTGGGTTTTCCTCGTTGCCATGGGTGCAGTCTCTGCTCCTATTGGCCACAGCCATCCTTCATTGTTTCACTTTCCTCGATGAGCACATGAACCCGTCGATGAGGATGCTGTGACCCAGCAGAGAGCTGTCACACTGCCTCGAACTGCTGAACAGAAACACTCGGACCTCCTGCAGAGCTTATCAGTCGACAGCAGGACGGTTTGTTATCTCTGCAGAGCACACAGGGACACGCCCAGTCCGCCCAGTCCGCCCAGTCCTTCAGCTGCTCTGGTTTCCACCACAAACAGCTCAGCTAGAGGCTGAACTTTAAAGTGTTAGAGTCGATCAGAACAAATTGCTGCTTCAAACACAGTAAAGACCAGACAACATGGATGGATGGATGGATGGATGGATGGATGGATGGATGGATGGATGGATAGACAAACCCTGGACAGGTAACCAGTCTATCACAGGGCTACACTTAGAGACAGACCACCAAGCACACTCACATTCACACCTACGGACAATTTACAATCACCAATTAACCTCAGCATGTTTCTGGACTGTGGGAGGAAGCCGGAGAACCCGGAGAGAACCCACGCTGCACGGGGAGAACATGGAGACTCCACGCAGGAAGATCCCGGGTGTCCTCACCGGGACGCCAGCCGGCGACCTTCTAGTTGTGAGGCCACGGTGCTAACCACTGATCCACCTGCAGCCCAGAACAGTGACATTTAGGCCTGACGAGGACATCAGGACAGAAACTTTTAAATCCATCACTGAGAATTTTCTAAAATAAAATCCCAACTTTAGATTTCATTTTACTAAAGAACTTTCATTTCAGTCAATAAAAGTCTAATTTCAGAACAAAGTGACAAATTGATCACCTGATTGAACTAATACCTTTGTCGACAGCTGACCGATTGATTGATTGATTGATTGATTGATTGATTGATTATCTCTGCAGACTGCTGCGTCCACTGCCTCCTGGCCTGTCTGTTCTGTGAGCTGCTGTCCATGTGTTCGGCGGTGGGGGAGTGTCTTGCGTGTGGAGTGGGCGGAGCCAGCTGCTGCGACGCCGCTGTTGGCTGCTGCTGCTGCGTGGAGGCGGCGGGAGAGGTGGCGTGCACGGAGGAGGCGTGTCAGGCCGTGCTGGATTGTGGGATATTGGAGGATTGCTGCGGTTCGTCCGACTGCCTGGAGATCTGCCTGGAGTGCTGCTCCTTCTGCTTCCCCTCGTAGCAGCCAATCACAGGAGGACAACAGCATGATGTCACAGCAGAGAGGCTGCTGGGATGGATTCAACCCCAAAACAGACCAAACACTGGAACCTTGTTGGCTTTAGAAGATCTGCAGCGAGTCGACTCGTCGGCTTCACGATGTTCTCATATTTGTTCTTTACTTACTGTTCCTGTCTGTGATTGGTCGTCTGCTGCCGGCTCCGCCCTGCTGGTTATATGATGGCTTCATGGAGCTGAGGCAGTTTGGTTTGGAGACTCCAGATAACTAAAGATATCTTGGATACACAGTGCAGACCCCAGGTTCTGGTTCCGTTCCATTCTATTCTATGTTCGTTCCGTTCCCTCTTGTTCAGTGATCCACCAGAACATTAAAACGGAACAAAAGCAAAACAAACAAAGTGGTTTTCTGTTTTTGGTGCCAACAAAACCTGAAGTGTTCAGGGAGCGGCTCTCCACGGTGGAGCAAAGTTCTGCTCAGAACTCTGGTGGAGTTGAAGTGACGTCGACTCTGAATGTTTCTGAGAGTAAAAGATGTTTGAATTTGTTCATTCAGGATTCTGGCAGTAGACATGTTTACACTTACAGCCTAAACATGCTGAGGCGTGAACCAATCACAAACAGGATCATCACGGCACCTGCAGGGAAACTAAACTTTGCTACGACGTATCAGAAACGTTCCCTGGATGTTTCTGTTGAATCCACACTCAGCTGTCTGACTGACTGGTAGCTCGGAGGGCGGAGCAGGAAGTGGGTCCTACAGGGACCGGAGGTGTGTGTTTGTAGAAGCTGCATGACAGGACGTCCAAACAGGAAGCAGGAAGTCACTGAAAAGACAACAGCAGGTAGCCTCTGACCTCCAGGACCTCACAGAGAGTCAGACTCACGTTACAGAAATGTCCTCATAAGGGTTGAATCTGATAATGGTCCCAACACACACACACACACTCCACACACATACACTCCACACACACACTCCACACACACACACACTCCACACACATACACTCCACACACACACTCCACACACACACACACTAAATCTTAGTGTCTTTCCTGGTTTTCGACTCCTCGTCTTCTTCTTCTGTCTGTCCTTCGTCTCCGTGCTGGTGATCTAAGGAGGCTTCCATCCTTCTCTCTCCCAGCACTGTTCTCTTCATGGTTGATCTCCAGATGTTTTCAGGTCAGATGGGATGTGTGATCCCTGCAGAGAGTTCTGGGTCAACCTTGACATCTCCTTCCAGCTGAAAACCTCCAAAGAAAACACTCCCAGTAGGATCTGGACCAGCTGTTGAACCACCTCAGCTGGATCTTTTCAATCTGAAGCAGCAGTGACTTTCCAGATGTCCGAGCTCCTCGCCGTCTCTCAGGCTGAGCCCAGACACTCGACAGAGGAACCTTGTTGTGGCTGCTTGTATCTCAGCATCTTGTAAATGAGGAGCTTTCATGGTCTGACACAACACTTGCACGACTGATGATGCTGCACCAGCCGTCTGTCCATCACTGTGAACGAGATCAAGAAACCAACAAACTCCTTTGCTTGAAGCAACAACTCGCTCCAAACTAGAGGGACAAATTCATCAGTTTCCATCAGAGAACCTTAGTCTGGAAGGTGCTGAGTCTCATCAGGCCCCAGTACTGCTGAAGATCTCTAAGCCCAGTTCTGCCTTGAGATTCTGGGCATGAATATCTCAAACAGAACTGGAGACAAAAGGCAGCCCTGGAGGAGTCCAACAGCCACCGGAAATGTGTCTGACTATGTGCCAAGAATATGAGGGTGGTTCTCACTTTGCTTTTACAAGGACCAAATGGTTTGTAGCACCAGTGTCCCGTATTACCACAGCACCCCCCACAGGGTTCTCCAGTCTTAGGTCTTCTCCAAGTCCACTAAACACATGTGAACTGGCAGGTCAGACTCCACGATCTCCTCAGCAGCTCCACAGGGTAAAGAGGCGTCCCACTGTTCCACGGCCAGGACTTCCCTGAGCCTGGTACTGTCTGACTGCTTGCTCATAGGGAAGCCAAAGGATTCAATTCATGAGGTCTTCCCCTTCCTCTGTGAAGTGCTGCAAGGTGGCATATGTTGTAGGTGGTGAAAATGGGCTGCACTTACCTAGCGCGTTTCTCTTTTTTTTTTTTGGCTTTGTGCCGTTGTTTATATCGAGTAGTGAGAGAGAGAGACAGGGAAGTGGGAGAAGAATGGGGGAAAGGGCCATGAGCGGGATTCAAACTCATGACCTCCACATTGGGACTGTAGCCCTACACCTGGGACAGCTCCACCAGGTGAGCTGTAGCGGCGCCCCACCTAGCGCGTTTCTGCCTCAGCAGCACCCATTCACACACATTCATACACCAACGGTCACAGAGCTGCCATGAAAGGTGCTGCTGCCATCGGGAGCAACTTCAGGTTCAGTGTCAAGGACACCTCAACTGTGGAGGCGATCGAACCACCAACCTTGTGACTGGAGGACAACCGCTCTGCCACCTGAGCCACAGCCGCCACAAATGTTGTGAATTGGTGCTATATAAATAAAACTGAACTGAAGTGAATCTCTCACAGCCAGCGCCACGGCCGGACTTCCCATTCTGAGGCCTCAAACGGTTTGCTAGAACTTGCTAAACTCCCTCTGTATAGCCTCCTCATACTGCCTCCATACAGTTTTTGTTTCTGGTCCATGTCTGCTGTTTCAGGACATCCTCAGGCCAACTATGCCTGAAAGGCCTCCATCTTCATCCTCACACTGTCCTTCACCTACGGTGTCCACCAATGGGTTTTAGGTTGCTGCTACAACTGGCCAAACAACATTCTGACCAGAGCTTCTGACATTTGCTTCTGCAAAGGAGGCCTTCACACGGCCAAATCAGATTCTAGTTAAAGACCTGCTCCTCCCTTCACCTGAGTGTCTGAGACGTTCTGATGACACGACCACAAACCCAATCATCCATCTTTGACTTCAGCTGCTCTGGGAACAGGTGCACTTATGAGCCACCTTGTGCTCAAACATGATTTTCATTATGGTGAATAATGAATTAGCACAAACGTCCAGCAACAGAACTCCACTTTGGTTCAGATCAGAAAGGCTGTTCCTTCAAGAGATCCTCCTCCAGGTTTCTCTATCACTGACCAGGTGAACACTGAAGTCCCTCAGAAGAACTATGGAGTCTCCAGGCAGAACTACTCTCAGGAACCACCCAGAGAATCCAGCTGTTCAGTGGATAAACAGAAACAGTACTCAGAGTTGTCTCCTCAGCCACCCTCTGAACATGGCCACCAGGAGGCAGAAGAGGGCCTCTGTGGAGAACTAGAGTTATTCTAACATTTTGGTTGTTGTCATGAAGAATGAACATAAATGAGGAAACTACTGTTTGTTTTTAAAGCCTAAATCAGATGTAATTTTTCCTTTCTTCAGACTGACCAGACGTAAATCTGTTGGTTACTGGGAGGAAACTGAAGTTCTACTGAACTACTGCCGCGTTCAAGAAGGAAGACGACTGTTTCTGATCGACTGATCACACGAGGCAGTGACTTCCTGCTGAGTCTGTATCTGAGTTCTGATCTTGTCCCAGAACACTGAAGTGAATCCACAAAGACTGAATGAAAGCTTGGAGCTGTGCTGAAGCAAGAGAGCGAAAGGAAGAGATGAAGAGAGAGAAAGAAACCGAGACGAGAACTCCTGACATGTTCTCTGGTAATGAGTTCATCCAGATGTAGGAGCAGACGTTAATGTTCCCTGACCTCCACAGGAACAGTTTCATTTCATCCTCAGACCAAGTTTTTGGGTTAAAAATACACTTTTAAATTTCTGTCTATACGGACAAAGTTGATCAGTGAGTTTTCTTTCTTCTTTCAGGTTTGTTCCTAAAAAAGAGCTGATTTGTGTTTGTGATTATTCAGTTACCTGGTTGGGTGTGTTTCACACTGAAGCTAAATTCTAAAAAGTTCTGACACATTTTGTTTGTTTTTATGGGGTTTTCTGTGTTAATGTTTGTGAATATTTCTGTATCTCAGTCAGTCAAAGATCTTCTTCCTGTGCAGTTTGCCGACACAACAGAAGACTGAAGAGAAAGTAGAATGATTTACAGCAACGATGGCAGAGTTCAACTTTCAGCAGCATCAAGGAACTGCTTCGTTCTTTTATACATGAAGAGCAAACACATCCATCCATCATCTCTGCACCTTAGTTCTCACTAGAGGGGCGGAGCCTATCCCAGCTGAGTCAGGGCGAAGGCAGGTTCACCTGGACAGGTAACCAGTCTATAAACACATTCATCTGGGTTTAATAATAAAAGGTTAATGTTCAGTGGATGGAGAGAACAAGTTCATTATATTTCAAGCTGATCAGTGTTTTTTAAACAGAGATTTAAATTAGATATCTGTGACTTCACCCCGGTTGGCGTCCCGGTGAGGACACCCGGGATCTTCCTGCGTGGAGTCTCCATGTTCTCCCCGTGCAGCGTGGGTTCTCTCCGGGTTCTCCGGCTTCCTCCCACAGTCCAGAAACATGTTGAGGTTAATTGGTGATTGTAAATTGTCCGTAGGTGTGAATGTGAGTGTGCTTGGTTGTCTGTCTCTAAGTGTAGCCCTGTGATAGACTGGTTACCTGTCCAGGTGAACCTGCCTTCACTCTGAGTCAGCTGGGATAGGCTCCGCCCCCTGATACCCTTGCGAGGCCCTTTGCCCTGGCGTGGGGATCAATAAAGAATTACCTTCTGTTACCTTTCATGACAGGCTGCTGAGCATAAGCCTCCACCTCCGTCAGGGCTACAGGCAGCTCCTCTCCCTCTTTCCTTCTTTTCCCTCTTCTCTCTTTCTTCTCTCTTCTCCTCTCTCTCTGCTTCTCAGGTGTGCGCGGCGTGAGCAGGTATGGTGATTGGATAATCACCTGAGGGTTTCCACCTGCGGCTGGTTTGGAGCGATCAGGCAGCGACTCAGCTGTCACCACATACCAGCCTGATGCTGACTGTAAGCCGCTCTCTGGTGGTGAGCCCTGGGTCCTGATCCGGATCCTGTTTCGGGCTCTGCTGCTGACTAACCCGTCTTGTCCTCCACTCCAGTTGAAATCCTCCTGCTGCTCTCAGAAACCAGTTCCAACCCATCAGTCTGCATCCCCTGCTCACCCGACAGCCGTCCTCTGGAACCCACTGGATGCGTCCATTGCTGGTCCCTGTGCCTGCTCCTCCTCCATCTCTGCTTCCTGACACGCCGCCCTCCTCCTCAGCCTAAATCCACGTCCTCTGTCAGAAAGCTCCCAAACTTTCTGTGGCTCCGCACAACTGTTCTGATTTGTGTTTGCTTCGTTAGTATTTGGTTTGCATTCCCAGTCCTGTGGTACCAGTCCAGGGTTTATGCTCGCATCCTGTATTGTGTAAATTCATTCCATGCTAACCAAGCTAACCTGTAGTTGCTCTGCCTTGCCTACAGGGGTCCTCTTAGTTCCTGCTTTGTTACCTTTGACCTTAGTATCAGTTCCTGTTTTGATTGGAAGTGTAGTTCTAGTTATTCTGCGTTTGATAACTTTTGTGTAAATACTGTACATAATCTATGGTGTAAATACCACTTCACTGTAAAATACTTGAAACGTTTGGTTGTTGTCGAGTCCTTGTCTGTGTTTGAGTCTCCACATCTGAGTCTACATACCAGAAGTTGACATACATCATACAAAAAGACGTGATTTATTTATTTAGTTTTTTTGTTAATTTGACTAAACTTTTCCTGCTTTAGCTCGGTTGGGATCACCAACATTATTTCTATTTGCTAAACACCAGAATAATGAGAGAGAATGTTTATGACTTCCTTCACAGTCAGAAGTTTCCATCCATCTCCTCAGTATCTGCTAGCGTTGCCTTTAAACTCTATGACT